TAAAGATTACATTAATGTTGTTATTTATTTTTATTCATTGTTGACAGCCATCTTTTACTTGTTTATCTTCACTTATACATCTATCACATCTGCTAATTTCTGTTGATAATTCATTGTCTCTACTTTGTATTTGCCAATGTTCTATTAATATCTTTTTTTTTTCTTCTTAATTATCTTTTTTAATTGTCTATTGTTTTGTGTACTATATATTACCTATTCTTTCTTTTTCTATCTTCTGACAATTGCTTCTACTTTATTCTTATTGCTTAGATATTATATCTGTTTGTCTTGAAGTGCCTTTTAATTTTCTATTTTTTGGTTTTTCAAACATCTTTAATTCTACTACTTTAAATCATTCTGCTTTTTTTCCTCTGCTTGATTAATTTTAGTAGTTTTTAAGCTGCTGTCACATAATTAGTCTTTCTTCTTTTGTGTTAAGCAATTAGTTTAAATATATTAGACCTGCTTCACTTATCTTGGTTTTACTTCTCTTTCACAAACATGTTTCTAAAAGCTTTTGTATTCTAATACCATATTCAAAAGCTGATCATAAGTTACTTTCTGTTCTTATATTTATTCTTAGTTCTCTTGCCTTTAATATTGTTAAACAAACCAAGTTGTTTTTTTAACATGTTTCATTTCTGAGCATTTCTTCTAATTTTTATATATCTTCTCTTAATTCTGCTCTTTGGCAGCCTTGTGTTATTCACAACTTTGTTAACTGCCCAAGGCTGTTTTGTCTATTTAGTCTTGCTAGTAAGTTACCTACTTGCTTCATTATTAACTCTTGTTGCAGTGTTCTACAGCTACCAAGGTCTTTGTGTTCTATTATGCAATTTTTTAATATTTTTTGTATGTTAGTCTTTTGTTTTGCCAAACATATCATTAGTTGATATATTTTATTTATTCTTTTTTTTGACATTTTTGTTAATTGTAACATATAGCTTAATTTTGATATTAGTATTATATTGTTTATATATATGATCTGGCTTATCATCATCTTTTTGTACTTAAGATCTTGTATTGTTTGACTTATATGCTCTTTGCTTTATTTTTAACAAGGACTTTACACATTCTGTTGTTTAGCCATATTCTCAATGATCAAACTATCTTATTTTTTAGTTCTTCTTCTATCTTGCTTTTTTCAAATACTACTTCTTTTTTCTCTTTTCTAATCTTCATATTCATTATTAGCAGCTTCAATTTGGACTCATTTATCTCTATATCATTTAACTTAAAGAACTCTTTAGATACTTTTATGATCTCTAATAACTGACTTTTGCTATTTGCAATCCATGTTGTATTATTTGCATATGCAATTGCTACTTGACAATATCTTATAATCATCAGGAAAGTTTTTAAAGGCTATATAGCATTAGTAATTCTTAGATTACTATCAATATATAGCACCCTTGCTGGATATCATCGTTAGTGATTACTATCGATATATAACAAAAATTTATTAAATTTTCTTAAACTTTGACTTGAATTTTCTTGATAACTACTAATCCAAATCAGCTCAAACTTTTACAATATATGATATATACATTCAACTATATCATATTAAAAGTTTAGTCAATTTAGATAATTCATTCTTGAGAAATTAGTTGTAAATAATAGTTGATTTTTTTAAAAAAATTAACTATTGTATATAAGCGATTTCTCAAGAACGAATAATCTAAATTGGCTAAAATTTTAATATAATATAGTTGATTGTATATATCATATATTATAAAAATTTGAGCTGATTTGAATTAGTAGTTATTGAGAAAATTAAAGTCAAAGTTTAAAAAAATTTAACAAATTTTATAAAAATCGTTACTAATTGATAATGATTAAAATCATTTATAATTGTTATATATCAATAATTGTTATATATTATTAGTAATATATATCGATATATAGTAACTAATCAATATATATTAATTAAATGCTATATATTGATACAAATCTGCTTAAAAATTTTTCTGATGATATTATTGCAATGCATTTCTTACTTAGCCTGTTGCTCTACTATATAACCTAAACTTTCATCTTCTTGTATTCTTTTAACAATAAATTATAAAAGAGCTACCATATTAGCAATAATATTACTTCATCTTAATCTATACCATCTTTTGCTGTTATTCTTCTGATAAACTATAAGCTGTGATTATTCTTAATTGCCTTTTATAAAAAAGGTTTAGAATATATTTAATTGTTTTTTTTAGTATTTTGATTTTTTGTAATGCTAATTCAAGACTTTCAAGTAAAACTAAATTAAATGCCTTTTTTATGTCTTGTAAAAGTATTTATACTTCTTTGTTTTTCTCTTTTATTTCTTCTATTATCAAATTTAGAATATTAACTAGTTGCTTTATAGAATTTTCTAAGAGGTCTGCATAGTTTGGTCCTTTGAATATTTCTTTTTTTATAAATACTTTGGCTAGTCTTTTGGTTACTACTTTGGTTCAACCTTTCTAAATGTTTTAATTAAAGCTATTAAACAGATATTATTTAGACTATATTCTCACTCTATATCTTTTAGTATTGGATAAACTTGTGCTATTTTCTACTTTATTGGTATTTCTTTTGCTTCTAAACACAGGTTTGCGAAGGCTCTGAAAACTTCTTGTATTTTTTTCTTTGCTCATTTGATAAATATATAGCTTATACCTAAAATACTAGGAGCTGTTTCAGTTTTGAGTTCTTTTACAATTTCTTTTTATTTTTTTTCTTTAATTTCTTCTTCAACCTCTTTGTACTATTCTTCTTTAATATGCCTTTGTGGTCTGTATATTTCTTTTCACTTTTCTAACATCTCTTCTAATTTTGTAATTCTCTTTCTAAATTGTTCACTATAATACTTTGCTATGCCTGCTTTAACTAACTTTGGCTCTGACACTAGGCTTGTTATTTTTTCTTTTGTTTAATGAATCTATCAAGTACTATTTTTTTGTAGAATCTGTTTAAGAGACTGGCTATTATTTTTTCTTGATCTGTCTTAATTATTTTGCATCTTTTATCTATATTTTTTTTATTTGTTTTCTTTGCTTCTGTTTCTATTCTTTTTTCTTCTTCTCTTACAATAACTTTTGCCAGCCTTTCATATCTTCTATTTAAGTGTTTGATTATTATCTCTATAATTTTAACAGTTTTGCACCTTCTTTCTTGCCTAATACCTTTAGCACATCTTTTATATCATTTTTCTCTTCTTCTGTTACTTCTTTACCTTTTTTTGTCTTTATATATTTAATTAATCTTTG